CTAGAACATCTTGCTTACTCAGCCTAGTCAGGTGATCAGGTCATATGACCAAGGATGAGGTCATATGAGGTCATGCACAGCCATGCACAGCAGGTCACCTGACCAGCCAATCCTTCCAGCAGGTTCCAGCACATGCCAAGGCATACCAGCTACTTCCATGTCATACAGGCTTAGTCATGTCTCTTGACCAAGCAATGAGCTGGTGCCCTGACAGAAGGATGGAAAGGGTGAATGCCAAGGTGAGCTTGATGGGATGGTCATTCGAGACCTGGAGTCTAACAGCAGGTCAGGTTCCATTGCAGACCAATGGAAGTGATTGTGGTGTGTTTGTCACCACGCATGTGTTCACAATTGCCCAAGGCTACACCCATTCAACCATGATAGCAGTTGACATGGCAAAATGGTGCAAATGGCTGCTGCAGCATTTGGAGTCTTTGCCAGATGCCCCGGTGCTTAAAAACCAGAGGGGAAGGTTGCTGCTCCTCTCTTAATGGTCCTCGTTTCATTTGCTGCTTTCTCTCCTCATGTTTAGTAGTTGCTTTATGTGTCTGTTGTATGACTGTGATCTTTCCTCTTCCCATCTTGGTATGTTGATTATGTAGGTGTGTACTGATTGGGTTGGACAGATTTAATGGGTGAGCAATGTCATGCAACCTTTTGGTGTCTCATAGGCTGATTTCTGACAGTAGTCTAATATCCACCACACATAACTTGTAATTCTGTAGATAGTTCTGTGCAATACAAGGGATGGCACACCTTACAATGCAGAGTGCAGACAACTTGCACATCAACATTGATGGATGACTGGACTTGTGTGAATAGGCAAATGATGTTTCTCAATTCAGGAACTGTTAGGCCAATCATGATTGGCCTAGCAGTTTGCTGGGATCGCCAGGAGATCTGCATTCCCATGTGTCCATACATGCAAAATTTTCCAATCACTTGTGTGGGATATCATCAAGCTTGGGAATTCCTGACTGCCAGAAGGGAAGAAGGTGAAGCACATTGGGGCCACAATCCGGTGTTCGGAACCCAGATGTACTGAAGCACTGGTGCCTCTAGTGCATTTGGACAGAAAGGGGGGGAAGGCGGAGAAGTATGGGGTTGTATACACCCTTGTAAGTTCTGCACCCTGTAGTTCAAACTACACTGACATTGTTTGTGCAGTGTAGGAAACATAACCTGAAGAGCTTCCGATTTCATACCCAGAGGCTGCACCCAGATGACATCATCAAACTCCAGCACATGGTTGACAAAGCCCAGGCACAATGGAGTTCAAGCCCAGTAGGCTCGAGTCAACTGGCAAATGGTCCCCAAAAGGGAGAACCCAAGTGTCCTCTCTGCAAGAGACCAGGTTGCCAAGCTTGCCACAAGAAATGGTGTGCCAAGTGCTGCAGGGACAAGAGAAAGTCCAAAGAGTTTGGTCACAGTGCAGCAGGCTGCCCTGTCCACAAGCCTAAGGCAGAAAAGACCAAAGGAGGTGGGGAAGCAAGAGAAGTCAATGGGTTGGATGAATGGGAGGATGGGGAGAACGGAGGAGATAGGGAAGGGGAAGTGTTGAGGAAGTGTTGAGGTTGGGCAGAGGGATGGGATGGCAGATGAGTCAGCCTGGGGGTGGGCAGGGCAGGTCACAGCTCCAGGTGGGACAGCAGGAGGAAAAGGGAAGGGCAAGCAGGTTGAAAGGGGGGGGGGCACACCAAGGCATTCAAGCAGAATGTCAAAGTCAGTGTGACGGCTGGACCATTGACACAAGCCTTCCATGGTCCATCCCCACATGGGCTGTACCATGAAATGGATGGCAGATGGGCAGCTACTCTGGACTGCCGACGGCATGCAATGGAGATGGAGAAGATGCTAGAGATGGTGTTTGGACTGATTGTGTTCACCTCAGTAAGCAGCTAACTACTAACACAATGACTTTTCTCTAACTCCCACTTAAGACACAGGTCCACTGGTTCTCCCTGCAAGTGTCTCCTGCTGCAGGGAAGCTGTGGACAAGGATGAGCCAATGGCCAAGTCATGTGGCCTTGTGCTGAGCTCTGACCTCAGGATGAAGTTTGAGAACATCACCTATGCAAAATTCTTTGAATTGCAGCAGGGGACATGGATCTGTCAGGGAAGGGAGGGTCTGGTGCAGGTCAGAAAGGATGAGTTGTTGATCTGCCTGCTGGGTGGAGTGAACGAGGACAGACCCCAGGTAGTCAAAGAACTGGGCCGGGTGCTGCCTGTTGTGGTTCAAGACCATAAGCAAGGATCAAAGCATCCCCTGGTGCAGACTCTGTCTCCACTCCTCCCACTGTCATCACCTCTGACTGGTAACTTTGTGATGCCTACTCCCTGAAGCTCATACCAGAGGAGACAACTGGCCATAAGTGATGGACTCCTGGCTCCTGTACACCTGAGGAATGCCGAACCTGGGCCCAGGACAGTGGAGGATGTGAAGCCAAGCAACCCTAAGCATCCACACTGGGGTAGTGGAGTGGTTACACTCAATGCCAATGATTTGCCAGATGTGAAGGACATGATCAACAGTGTTGAAGCAGCCACACTGACAGCAATGGACTGGGAGGGCACCATCAACCTGACTTTGCCACTGCCAGAGACTGCGCCCATCACTGTCAAGCTGTCAGGGCACCAGCTCATTACTTGGTCAAGAGACATGACTAAGCCTTTATGACATGGAAATAGCT